ATTGCACATCATAGTAATACAATATACGTAGCACCAAAACATAGGGATCAACTAATCAAACTAAAGTTTACCTAATTTCATGGCCTCGTGATACATGTAAATTTATCTTGTAAATGACATGATTAATTAAGATGTGGTAAAACATTAAGAATCAGAAACTAAAAGCGTGCAACACATGAATCTTATAAAAGATAGCAAGCGCAATATTAACAACAGTCATTTAAAATGTTATCTTCTTCTGACATTACATAAAGAAGGATATGCCTTCTAGTCTTGTATGTGTTGTTATTAAATGCATGTACTAGATAACCTTCCCATAGAAAGAAGTTTGGGTGACTACTTACATCGATCGTGTCAAGCTGCTAATTTGAACCTTAACGTCCATACTTGGAATTGTCAAAAGGTGCTAATGCCGATCATTGGCTAGAGCATATTGTAAGCTGTCAAATCGACCTAAACCCTACACCCGTGGTTTTGAAAATCTAACAGTTCAGTTTGAAACCATCACTAGATGAAAATCAAGAATAAACATATATTTATTATAAATGTTGAAACCCAAGAATAAACATATATTTATTATAAATGTTGAAACACAAGAATAAACATATATTTATATTATTGTCAGCATTCATAAAATATAAACTTTCAAAAACAGGGAGAATGATAAATAGATTGTATTAAATTGTTTGTAAAACCACAAATCTGACTTTTAAAAGATAATGAAACATGTGTTTTATTTACATTTTTCTATCTACACTTTTAAGTTTTAACCCAATATTAAACATCGATGCTTTAATTTTGTAACGACTTAGAAATGACCATATCCACGCCCTCTCTGGTGTATCTCATCTTTATACGAGTGCGGCTTAAAAAATAAGTATATGCAAGATATGTTAACTCTCTTGGCTTTTGAATTAGAATACTTTCTATTCGTAGGATTTTCGCTTAGTTTTTATGTTCGAAATAGTTTGCCCCCACCCATACACCTCCCACTCTGTCTCTTGTTACCCAAATTAAGTTTTCAACTTTATGTGGATCCCTCGCCATCATGTTAGCAGGCACTAAAAAACAATGCGTGATCACTTTAGTCCCGAGTTTGTGCAAAGATATTTTTGTTAGTGACCTACGGTGTCTGCCCACAAAGATTCATGATTCAATCTTAGATCATGTTTTTTTATTGCATATATTTTTATTGCACCTACTTGTACATATGATTAGAGATAATTTCAAGCTCTTTCTTGATGCATGGAATATTTGATGATGGAATTGTCATTAGAGAATATTTAGAAGAAGTGGCGAGAGTAGGAAGCTTCGTGAAGGTTTATTCGTTGTATACATAGGGAGGCCATTAATGAGAGTGAAGCTTCTGGGATGGGTGGGTGGGTGGGTGGGGGTTGATAGAATAGACAAGGATTTTATTAGCCGTTGATCATGAGGAGAGATTCCCACAATGTTGAGTTTATACATATTCCTCCAAATTTAGGTGACATGTAGAGTAGCTCCTTGTTTAACCAAGTATAGATATTGCCAAACTTTTCTTTTCCTTGCTGACTTGCCAACATATACACATAGAGATGTGATGTTGTTCATTGAAAAAAGGTTACATGACTACTCGATTAAGGACATTATGGTTTGTGGAGATCCTTTCTTGGACGCATCTAGTGTCGACTTTCTTATTTACCTATATGGCTTGGTGGTCTAAGGTTGTACTCAAAAATATATGATCCCTTTTATGTTTTTTTTTTGCCACTAAGGCTAAATATTGGGTATTTCAAGATCATATCTTACGAGACAGTGATATATGTGGTGTAGATTCTAATTATTTTTGTGTTGTTACTTTATTTTCTATGATATGATTATGAGTTTCAACTTTAGGCGGTTTGACTAACAAGGACACTCTCCAAAGTCTGACATGCATTAGTGAGCATCATTTTAGTACAAAAACTCGGACATGGATGCATATTTTTATGTGATCATTAGATAGAAAGAAGTTTTTGAGTGTCTATGAGCATCGCATGCTTAAAATTTATTGTATATAACCTTCTCAAACCCTAATCACAAAAGCTATACGGATATCATCATAGTAGTACACCTTTGTAATAAAATTTAATGTATATTAAGACCAAAATAAAGAACCGGCTAAAACAATCATGACTTCTATTGAATCGAAAAGTAGAATATGTAAACATAAAGAGCATATTGAACTGAAAAAATCGAATCGTATTCAACAGGTGGTTATGCTTAATGCATTGTGTTAAAGTTTTATGATATTTATATGAAATGTTCATGGTCTGAGTACAACAAAGTGAACAAACAACAATAACGAATACATAAATCTAAACAAAACGAATATTGCATCAACCAAATACCAAGTATGACCAAGAATAAATAGCCATGAAGAGGATATCTTACCTAATATGAGAACCCCGAAACGACGATTATAAAAACTAAAATCGGAAAGAAATAATGAACTCCTATTAAAAAAAAAGTCGAACGGTTACAAAATGTGTTTTCTAAATCACCCAAACCGAAAAAGTAACTATTTTTATGAATGAAATACTCAAAATTAATAATAACTCTTAAAAAATCACCAAATATTTCCTAATTAAAACATTCCAATATGTTCCCATTAAATAACAACAATCCCTAAACAAGTTTCCTAAATTGATATCAAATCTCCTTAACGTGAAGCATAAGCATGAAGTGATATATCAATGTCTAATGGATCAGTACACATATCACAAGGTGACACCAATACACTAAGTAAAGGAAATGATGGACTTATTGACATATAACCCAAGCACGTGCCAGATTGATAGCATGTGGCGGATTGATATTATAAAATGGTATATCGATCGGTCAAGAATAATAAACCTCTATGTCATGAGAAAACATCAGTCCCTCAGAAAAAATGAAAATCACAAAAACTTAAACACTAAATGGTGGGTTAGAAATTACCCAACTTCTACCTTCAATGAATCGTGAATGGATAGCCAAAACAATATTGGGACAAATTTCACTTTTAAAAATGATGTTTGGAATGTCCATCAACCAAAACCCGACAAAGTTTACTTCTAGCAATGAAATTTGGAATGAATATCACAATTCAATTTTATCTTTACAACAACATTTTGCACGAATTTCTTGCAGAAAATACTATGTTTTCTCTTTAGTTCAAACCAGAATCCATATTCATGATAAAAAAGATATTACCAGCCAAATGCATTTAAATCGGAAGTTGTTTTCTACAGAAGTTACAAGAAAGAAACCGTGTCAATTACATTTTCAGCTTCAAAGAGATAGTTTTTTATTTGGAAATTATGGAAGTCAAATACACATAGAAAGATTTAGGTTTGATCCTATTATGTTTAATACTGAATTCTTATTTCAATTTCAGAGACACCATTCTTTATAGTCATGATAAGCTCACTCTCAATGAGGTTTTTGAATCCTTTCATTCCATGGAAAATATGAAACATATTTTTTTATTGTTCGAGAAGCTCACAAGAATATGGTGTATTATTCACAACTTATCAAAATCTAAAGGGAATCACAAGACTTAAATGTATAACAAGAAAGAAATGCATGAAATATCTAAATGCTAGAAGTTGCAAAATAACGAAAATAGAAATTACTTAGATAAATACAAACGTAGAGATGTGAAAATTTTACAAATTATTACCATGGAAGTAGTTTTGAATGAGAGGTTCTTGTTATTATTGGATGTGTCGACATCAATTATGAGTGGCTTCTTGATTCTGCTTGTACTTACCATATATTTCTACATAGAAATGGTTTGCCACCATAGAATCATTTAAGAGTTTCAAGTCAATTCTTTGTTTTAATGACTCTTAATGCAATATTAAAGGTATTGGCATTATCATATTGAATATATTCGATAGGAGTAGTAAAACACTAATAAATGTTCATTCCAAAGACAAAGAGAAACCTTATATCTTTAAGTATTTTTCTAGCAAGGGATACAAGTATTTAAGTGAATATGGGTATTGAAAATCGTTCTCTAGTTGTGATAAACCTTGATCAATAAAAGGAAATTAATGTACCTACTATGTACAAGGCACTACAAATTTATGGATTTTTGAAATCCTTAGATATGCCCATCCCTTATTTTTTACCACTTCTACTAAAATAGATGTCGTTAAGATTAGGCATTGTTAACTTGAAAACATAAAAGGGTGAAATTCAACACTTTGGTTCACACCACCAAAATATTTTGTATTATGTTCACTCAAATTTATGAGGGCATCACAATAAAACTCTTGGAGGTGTTGATACTGTGATTATAAATACAATTTTAGTGTCTAAGTTTGCATCTTGTTCAAGCTTGTTTGATATTCAACATTAGTCTCTTGTGGTTGTGGCACAAGACTTGTATTTTGTTTTTTTAAAGGGTTGAAGTTTTTCTGTTGAAGACGGAATTCATCTCAAGCTGGAGTTCGGTAGAAGTGTGTGCCGAAATCTCCATCTTTTACATGTATTTGGTTTTTTGGTTAATTTCAATGTTTTTGGGATTAGGAAACATCGTTTGGTAGCTAGAAGTCTTTGAATTATTTTAGGGTTCTAGTTTTTAGTTAGTTTATAAATATATGCTTAGCGTAATTACTCTAATTATCATAAAATCTTCTCCCCTCTCCATCGAAATTACAATCCTTCTCTCTTATTCCTTTTATTGATGTTTATATGCATAGGTCCAATTGCCTTGTGGTTTTTCACAAGGGTTTCCACCCAAATTTCTATGATCTTTGTTGTTCTAGTTTCTTATGTTTATCATTATATTTCTTAAAAATGTCATACATAATTAACATAAAGAATGTAGCTTATACATTTAATTCTTGCACATGATTGAGATCATGACATAAACATGTAGTTATATAAAATAGAGGCTTGTCGACTAGCAGATGAATATATACACACAAATGCAACCATATGTAAGATCAATAGGAAGAGAATAATAGAAAGTGAGGTTGCTTACATTTTATCTAAGGGGGCTCCTTTTCATTTTTGTGTTCGATAACGATCTTTCTTGTTTCCCGTTCCTGCATGCATGCCACGTAACTCCAAAATTAGCATTCATACAAAAGAAAATGAATGATCTTCAACAAATCAATCATACTCTTTTCTTCCAACATCGCTTCCTCGTCCCCAAGTGAAACTAATTTCTCTTAGGGCATCCACAATCCGTTGAACTCTATACAGTTCAATGGATTGTGATATAATCCACTAAACATCTATACAACATCGCCTACAACCCATTAAACATATATTTAATCTTAATAACCACTTTATTCATTTTATTGAACCATTCAATGATCATTCAACTCTACTCTATATCATTACTCACACTTCATTCAACTTTTATTCAATCCTAGTCATCACCCTTTTCAACTTATACTACTTGCATTGTGATGTTCTTATACCATTAGGAAACCATGTTGATTATCTTTATCTACATATAACTCATAATGTAAGATAAAATTACTAACATATGACAAAACAAAACTGGCTTTATTTCTACTAAAGCATAGACCGAGAAAATTAAATATTGAACTACTAAAAGTAGATTCAATAAGAACGTAAGACTAATAGTGACCTTATGTTTTCGTGGCCTCCTGGTAGGCGTTCTTCTTCCACTTGGCTCCGACAAGATAGCCTGCATTTGCACCAAACAATCGGTTTAGCACTACAATCATATATTAGCCAAAGTAGACAAATATATAATTAGGAAAATAATTATATGGTATCTTAGTATATTTGCTCGCAGTCTACAAATACCTATTACATCTTTCTTCGGCTAACATTAGATTCAAATATGGTGAAAAACCTTAACCAGTGTATAGCTTGATATGAATGTACAATATACCAAAAGTGCATCTTTATTAGTCATTGAATGAATCCAATCGATTTAAAAAAAAATGTTTTTATAGCATCTACAATGCCTTATATAACTATTTGAAATTACCATGACAAAGTAATTACCATTTGACTGTATCACTTATTCCATTTAATCATATTTAAAAGTTGAGAATTTTTTATTTTGTGAGTAACTATTCGATTTTGTTAAATATAAAAAATCAAAAGGAATGTTTTTAGAGAAAAATATCATTAAAAACTTTTAAATGACACAAATATATAACATTAAAGAAAACAAACAGTTATATAATAATTTAATGTCTTTTATTTGTATAACTATATTTTGAAACGAAAAATCTTAGGGACTCCTAAACTTCTCTTTAAATTCACTTATGTTCATGATTGGATTTTTACCTCAATCTTAAGGAGAGATGACAATACCAGATATGGTTGTGTTAAAATATAACTATATTTTTGGATCAAAATCAAACCAATATTAAATACGATTTGTGCTTAAAATCAAACAAATTAAATAAGAATGTTTTATTGAATATTTTAAATAGATGGTGATAGATATATAATTTTTTAAGGAAAAAGAAAAAATAAAAAATAAAAAAATAAAAAACTCTTAAAAGGTTTTACGTTGGTATTTCAGTATAAAAGTTTTGTTTTGTTATTAAGTCTGCGACGTTAAATTATGCAACGAACATAGAAAGTTAGAGGAAATGGTTATTTCATGATTTATCAAAAAATGAGATGTATCAAATCTTCTGATTCAATATGTGAAAACCTCTATTGGAAGGGTAATTCGGTGAAGAGGAAAAAAACATGAATTACATCATCACCGACTAGACCATTGAATTGGTGGTTTTGCATGGATGGAGGGTAGAATTATGAAAATTTATGAGGGTATGGTTGATCATTTTTGTGAAATAGAAGGGCAGTCATGGTCAAAGAAAACAAGAAGAAATCCGAAAAACAACACTGCAACAAGAAGCTCAATGACAGAAAAATTATACCAGTACCGGAAAAGAGAGATTTTCAGGCATTACACACCTTGGATCTAGAGGCATTGGAACGATTCAGGCTCCGTCGACCGGACTTCTCGAGGTTGCCGGTGGAAGTTGCACCCCTATTGGATACCAGATTGGTAGAGCCACCAACAATGACTTCCGATCTGGCGGTGACGAGACGAACTTCCGTTCGCCTGGAACGGGGCTGGCGGACACCCCAGTCTATGTAAATCATTGGTGCGTCCTGCTCTGGTGCTTGCGACATCGTTGGTGGTGGTAGTGGTTGAGGCATTAGTGGTGGTGGTTGAGGTATCTGTGGTTGTGAAACTTCTTGATGGAGTTGAAGGAGGACTTCACAGACCAAGGCGTTTTCGTGGACAGCCTTGTCCACCCATGGATGGTTCACCATTTTGTTGAATTTGAGAATTGACACTGAGGAGAAAGGCGATGGCAAAGGGTGGGGGTTGCTTTTTATAGTATTTATTACTGAGACGTGGCACTGAGTAACATCTACTAGCAATAGTAGAACCACTTTCACTTTTGACAAGCGGTTTCTTCTTTTTCTCTTTACCTGGAACAAATTTGTCATTAACTTCTTTATAGATTGATACTAAGTACGACATTAAATTCACATATTTAATACTAGGACAAAATTGTCATTAACTTCTTTATAGAATGATACTAAATTCTCATTTATTTTTTTAGTATGACATTAAATTCTCATATTTGATATAGGGTTCCATACATATCGATTGAAGGCAAACGGACAACAAAATGCGCCGCTAGCCATTTGTGGATAGCAGAATCAATTCTTTTGAAAACTACATTTGTGGATTTAGGAGATATGATATTAGAATGCATATTTGATTTGAGTAATATATAAATGGTTTGATTTATAAACATTTGATCACTGAATTTTTTTTTTTTTTTGTTCGCATTTATCATTTCAATTTGTTTAACAGTATACATTCAGTCTTTATAACCGGCTACTCCAAGTAAACCGGGAAAAATTACTTAATATGATAATATATTTCTCATTTTGTACACATTTAGGTGTTGTTTGTTTTTTTAAAGAAAAATGTATGTACTCAATGGACCACATCTGTAGACCTCTGCAATAAAAGAGGTGGATCGAACGTTTGGAGTCTGAAAACAGAAGACTGTTTATTTTTTAACATTTGCATGCTACTAAAATAAAATAAAATCAAAATAAAGTGATTTTTTTAAACTTCAAAGTGATATTTTAATATTGTTATGACCTTGTTATAAATAATTAGTAAATCTAGATCAACTTCAATGCATTATTGTATAAAAAGTCAAAATGAAAATGGTACAAATTAATGTATATATTTGATAAAAACCAACAAATTTTGTCGCAAAGTTATACCTAAACACTGTAATTATGAATCAAAGAATTTGATACATAAATAGATGGAAATAAACTTCGATTTTTTCAACTAAATCAATTAAAAACACACCATAAATATTTTCTCATGAAATTAAAGATACTGTATTAAATAATGTTTTATAAAATTTGACACAAAAAATATAAGAATATATTATATTTTTTTCATATTTATATAAACAACTTCAACGACCATTATTGTAATAAATCTTTATTTATAAATTTATCAAAAATATCATGTTTGTGTGATTGAACCCTTTTTTTAAGTATTGTAACTTTTTTTCTCAAATTATTTATCATTAATAAAGTTAAAATAAATATAAAAAACGAAAAATAAAATAAATATATATGTGTTTTTTATACTAGAAGATGTCTGAAGATGTTAGAAGATTTTGGTCCACATCTGCGCCAAGAAGAGGGCATACAAACATTTATTGGTCTGCAGTCTTCAAAAAAAAACAGTCTGCAAAGGCTAATGTATGCGCGTGTTCTGCGCAACGCAGACAGAAGAGACCAAGAAGATTTGCAGATAAAAAAATAAACACCACTTTAATCTTTAATATTTTTTTGCACATTTAATATGTAAAATTTTTTTGTTGTAAAATAATTCATTGTTGTTTTTTTATATATTCAATACTTATGACCGGTTTCTTTAGGTTTTTTTCACGATATCCTACGTGGGAAAACCATTAATAAGGTATTTGACATGTTCATGCTTATGGTTACTACGACCGCAGCTGCTTGTTTGCTTAGGTCTTATGTTCTGAACTTCATAACTTCTTCATACGATCTTAGATTTTAATGATCTTTATATCTACGTATCCGTATTTGTTGTGTTTTGAACGTCGTAACTTCTTCATACGATCTTAGATTTTAATGATCTTTATATATTCGCTTTGTATTTGAGTCTACTACTATTTTTGTTTAGATTACTCCTTTTAAAATGTGATATATTGTACTTACGACCTTTATGTTGGATTACATGTCTAAGTCAATAATTAAATTGATATATACTTAAATTAAAAGCAGAGTCCATTTGGGTTGCTCTCAAAACTAGTAATGACAGAATGACTTTTGGAGAAAGAGCTTAATTTATTGGTTTATTATAAGATTAATAAATTGTAATAAATGATTTATTAATATATTATGGGATTAATATATTAATTAGAAATAGTATTATTTAATTAATAATTAATCATAAATTAATCGAAATTAATTTTGAGATTAATTGGATTAATTAAAAGTAGAATGACTAAAGGTAACAATATTCAAAACTTGAGCATTGAAGAATTTCACAACCTTCCTATAAGGGGGACAGTTTTGGAGTGTGGTTCTAGGGTTTTTTGGAGGCCTTAAGAATCCTTAGGAAGCAAGAAAAGGGATAAGAGTTATCCAAGGAAACTAGTAATGACAGAATGACTTTTTGGAGAAAGAGGTTAATTTATTGGTTTATTATAAGATTAATAAATTGTAATAAATGATTTATTAATATATTATGGGGTTAATATATTAATTAGAAATAGTATTATTTAATTAATAATTAATCATAAATTAATCGAAATTAATTTTGGGATTAATTAGATTAATTAAAAGTAGAATGACTAAAGGTAACAATATTCAAAAGTTGAGCAATGAAGAATTTCACAACCTTCCCATAAGGGGGATAGTTTTGGAGTATGGTTCTATGGTTTTTTGGAGGCCTTAAGAATCCTTAGGGAGCAAGAAAAGGGATAAGGGTTATCCAAGGAAACCTGCTTTATCCTAGCCTCCTTACTCAGCTATATAAACCCCTTATGGGTTCATAATTTGGCTATCCCATTCTAAGAGCCTTAGAGCCAAAATTCCTTCTCATATCCTCTTTCCACTAAAGTCTTATATTGCTAGGGTTTGTGTACAAACCATTAGATGCATGGGATTTCTAGTGCTTGCTTTCTGAAGCTTGATCAAAAAGGAATTGTTGATTATTTACTACAATAATCAAAAGGTATGTAAACCCTAAAATCCTTTATGAATTGCAACAATAGTTGAGTACTCCTAGGGTTATTGATGTTCAATTGTTTGTTGCAAATCAATAGTGAAAACATAGATCCTTTAGGTTGCATGTGAACTTAGGGTTAGGTTTTTTCCACCACATTTTTTTGTAACCTTTAAAACCTATCACTTTATATACATGTGTTCTTTATGAATGTATGTATGAATGTTTTTTTTATTAAATTGTAAGTAAATATATATTACTTTTTAATGTGAGTAATCTAAACGAAAATTGTAGTAGAATCAAATACGAATGTATGGATATAAAGATCGTTAAAATCTGATATCGTATAAAGAAGTTATGACATTCAGAACAATAGTAGTCCTCATTCATGAAACCACACTATAAGAGTGGTAATGGAAACGACCTATAAAATGATCGTTGAATGGGTGTCCTTTTCACCCGCTGCTTCTTTGTGTGGTGGAGGGTCGTTAGCCGAACGAGTTTGATAGGACATAATCACATTAAAAGTATAACATATAAAGTAGTAGAACCTTTTATAAAATCTCGCTCTAGTTACTTTAGGAAAATGTGAAATTGTATGTTAATCCATGAAAACACACATCATTTCTGTGTGAGTCGTTAATGGAGTGTGTGTTGTTAAGCGACACATTAATGTGGGACTATAAAGATGAAATGATGGCACATACTCGAATTTATGGTTGTTAATGGAGTGCGTATGGTTTACCGACACGTCAATGCGAGACTGTAATGGACCTTGAGCATGTCACGCAGGTTTGCATGGTTATTCATATCTTATTTCTGATCCCCAGCATCCTAATAACAAAATGAAGAGAATAATCATAAATTAAACATGTCACTGAATAGTTCAATGAATCTCAAATGATCTAGGAATTTCATACTAGATTGAAATCGGTATTTGCAGAATAACTAATTAATATTATAATTGGTTCTAAGCAGCTAATAATATGCAAATCTCCAAGCTATAAGGCATCTTAATTATTAGGCAATTCTATTTAGCAATTCCTAAAAAGATCCATAGCCTATATAGTATATACTAGCATGTATTTCTAACCTTTCACTTATCAACAATCATAACAATATGTATATTTTGGGAATCACTTTCCTTTCCGAGCTTTGGCTGACCATACACATCGCATTCTTTTCTTTTGAATAAAGGTCTTTTGCTTAACAAGATTTGTTAATATATTCAGATCCATGGTTTTAGTCTAGAATCACACGAGTGTTCATCCAGTTCACTCAAACCAGAGCTCCGATACCAACTTGTTACATCCCAATTTTCAACCCATATTTTTCATTTTTACTTATTTAAATATATCAGAGTTATGGTTATATTATGTGGAAACATGTTGTGAATGTGCGTGTATACACTCAAACCTTTCCCTTCTCACGAAATAGTTGAAAAATATTTATAACAATTGGGTAAGCTCCAGGCTTATTGAATTCCCCAAAATACCATATGCATGCATACAAACAATGGCTCACGATCTACCAATAATATGTGTATTTAAGACTTACGGCCTAGCCATTTCGACTTCAACACGGTTCTACGTGTACTTACAGCCTACATGTCATTTCTTCATCACGGGTCTATGTATACTTACGGCCTACTTGCCATTTCGTCAAAACGCATGCCTATAATGTAACACTCATTTCAGTTATAAGCTAATATGTTATATTTTAAGTTTCCATTTTGGGTTGCCACAGCGTGGTAGATCCTCACCACAGCATGGTGATATTTTTATGACTGTAAGATTTAATGACCCGCTACAGCGTGGCAATAAGTTCCATGGCGTGGCAGCTGATTTTGGTGAAACCGTAAATTCTCGTGTTGGACCCCTATTTAAAGGAAGTGATGGCTAGGGTTTCCTCCACCCTCAACCTCCATCACCTCAAAAAAGCGTTTTTGTGAAACCCTAGCCTTCCTTGTGAAGTATTGAGTTGTTTGTGGTGTTTTGTTGCATTTTGAAGGAAGAAAATGAAGGTACTAGCCAAAGGATCAAGCAAGAACTCCCTTCCATCCTTGGAATCATTCTTTGGACCTTTTTGTAAGTCCTCAACTTTCTATATTGATGACTATTTGGCTTAGATCTAGTTTCTTAAGCATATTTTGGTCCATAGGAAATGTTTGGTTGGTTTTATGTGTTAAAGGTTGCAACTTTATGACTCT